TGTAGGTCCCTTGGAAAAAATTGTTGATAGAATGATGAGTGCGGCCCGAATCCCGAGCGATCGACGCTTCACCAGTTTTTGAGTCTTCTTTGCGATAATCTGTCCTTTTTCGAGGTCCATTAATGAAGTTCCACTTGCCATAGCCTAGAAGAGGCAAGAAGTCATAATGAGAAGTTTCACCGAACAAAAATGAGATGCAGCCGGAAAATATGCGGTGGAACTATATTTTTGCTGCGTTGTCAGAACGACCATTTTTGAAAAAATTGACGAAAAAATTGTTTTTTCAAGCTAGAGTTTGGTGTTGGCATGCGAATTGGTATTGGTAATTACCACATTTTTTGTATGGGGCATTTTGAAAACGTTCGTGTAAGACGGGATTTTGTGAGATTCAATGGATGGAAACTATGAATTAATTGCTTCGCAGTGTAGGACTGGGAACCCGCGAGCCACTGTAGTTCGACCAAAGTCTCTATTTGATTCCATGGGCTTCCGTGACTAACGGGATAGCAGACTCCATGAAAAAGCATCTTTGGATACTACTTTCCTTGCTGTAGGTCGAATATTCCCTGTTCCGCAATATATGTAACAAGAAGTAAAGCATTTATTACATACACGAAGCCATTGGAATACCTAGAATCACAGGTATAACTCAATATGTACAACATTAGTGGAAAACTAAAAGCTTGAATAAGCTATCTATGCACTGATTTAAGATGCGAGTGAGAGTTCAAGAATATTTCCGCCTTTGAAGATGTGGTCAAGCTCGATCTAATTGAGCCCAGGTGCTTCCAAATGTTGCCCCACAATTTTCATTTGGGAACGTCGGTATATTTACACACAGTATTCAATCCTCAAGACCAGTATGATGACAATCTTCGAAAGTTTTCTTCTTGTGGTATGCTAAGAATATGATCGGACTTCTTACACTATGCACCAAGACAGATGGTGGATCGTCCGCTCATACACTCGGCGCGAGAAGTTATACTCCCAACCAGAAAATAACAACAAAGGAATGAAGTTATGTATAAAGGTCAATAACAAGTAGTGAAGAAGCAGGAGAAATGAGGAGGAAGACTAAATTTCGAGAGTAAGTGCTTTTAATTGAGAAAAATCACAGATCATAGCTGAAATAAAGAGCTCCTATGCTTCTGATTCGCCATGTTCGTAGCGCACTTGCAATTGAGAAGCTGTGGCTTAGAACAACTCAATGCACCTGTATGAGGCCATACATCAAAGGAATCGATCCGATAACGGTTTCCGCGCTTAAAAGTGGCGAAATACATAGAAGCAGGAGAGTGAGTGTTACAACAGCTCGCTCTAGGTGGTTCCATCACTGGTAGTGGCAGGGTTCTCTTCCTGATTCGCCGCTCCATTTGATTGTCCATTTGTTCGACTTAGCAGCTCCTGAAATATTTACTGTGAGCTAATTCAACCTACAGACTTCCGGTTCGCTCGAAGCAAGAAAGCGAAATGAGCATGGCATGTCAACTCAGCCCAGGCAAAAAACAAAAGATTCGGTTAGTTTATTTTAAATTTTGAGTTATTGCAAACTATGGGAAGGTGGTAGACCGTGTGTTAAATGCCATCCTAGCAGCTGAACTCAAAACACACTGAAAACCTACGGTACTCACCATAGATGCAGGACCGGTTGAATAAGCAGTCTATAGGGTAACACTTAACAGCCACCCACAAAAATTGTACAGGGACTAGTCAATATCAAGCAAAATACATCAGCCGGCGAACCTGATACCATTCACTCGGACTCTTCCAATCATGTTCCCACCTTGAAGATCCCAAAAAGCAACGGACAGAAATAGATGGATAGGTCCGCATTAGAAAAGCCAAACATCAAACCCTCGTAATTAATCCAGTCGGGTAGAAAGTACTAAGGTTGCAAGTTGTAAATTTGATTTTGTACTTCTGAGCCAACGAGGTTTGTAGCTGGAACTCTCAAAACTCATAAAGTTCCACCTACAAACCTCGTTGGCTCAGAGGTAAAACATCAAATTTACAACAATGCCGAGGGTATACGAAGAGAGGAGTTGGAGACTATTAGAAGAATGCAAAAGTTTTGCACTATTGAGCCTTCTCTAAAAGCAACAATGTAAACCATATTCACCCTTGGTAAGGTAGTTCTTATGGCGGAGATGGTGTAATGGCAAAAGGCACGCTTACCAATGCGCGGTTCGGGGATCAAATCCTGAATCGCGCCTGGCCCAGGACGCCTTCTACCTTCCAAAGATGGTAAATTGGTGCCAGATTCGTCTGGGAGGATAAAACACTGACTTGTACATCGGCTGGCCCCGCAAGTCATTGTATAGGCCACATCGCATTCAATAAGCCACTACGATTCTGAATGGAAGTAGAATGCGTGCCGCATCCCAAGTTGATCAACGGCGAAGACTTTATCGTTTATCCTTTTAAGGTAGCTCCTCACATTATCTAGCTTTGCATGGATAAAGCTGCGTTCATAGTTCAAGATTCGAGCAATTAAGGCACGTTTACACATTGTGTATTTGCGACACGTGCTCCCATGTTAATCGTTGAACCCAGTCCAACGATTGGAAGCGAGTCGCGAGTGCGCGTAGTCAGTTGCAGTCGCGCGGCTGAAGCGCTCGCGATGTATGAACACTGTTTATGAAAGCACTTAATGATTATCAGTATCCTTCCCGCGAACCAGGGTGGGTTGGTCTTTAGCTGCAGGAGTGCATTTTTTTGTCACTAAACAAAACGTTTCAGGGAGACTAGAGCTGCGTTGTAACAATTTGTGTGGTTTAGGCCTGCGACTGAAATTCGCTTGTCCCCATACGACTCCTTCACCGAGATAGCGCTCGGTAGGTTCGATGGTTCGACTGAGGCCAGAACCAGGCCAAACACAAACCCTCGGAATTCGAAGTCCAATTGGGTAGAAAGTACTAAGGATGCAAGTTGTAAATTTGATTTTGTACTTCTGAGCCAACGAGGTTTTTGCATTTTTTCGTCACTAAACAAAACGTTTCAAGGAGACTAGAGCTGCGTTGTAACAATTTGTGTGGTTTAAGACTGCGACTGAAATCGCTCGTCCCCATACGACTCCTTCACCGAGAGTAGCGCTCGGTAGGTTCGATGGTTCGACTGAGGCCTCCTTCGGGCGATTCAATATGTGGAATCGATTTCACCTAGGAAAATAGGCTTGCCGATTGCTATCAAACCCATATCAAAAGGGCGGAGTAGAACGTAAGCAACATTGAGCTATCGCAAGCTTTTATCTTGCCTACTTCGCGCTTCTACCATACACTCCTGAGCACTGAAAGTGGTACATTTCGATGGATGCGGACCCTGGATCTATGCACACGTTATCCCCCAAGCAGCAACTTCTGTTGTCTTCGATCCAGCCTTGTCTTCAACTTCAAGAAAATTCCACTATATCTTTGTATAACATCTCTTAATTTCCACGAGCA